GCTGTGAACTGGAAGCTTCCCAGCATCATACGCAGCAGTGACAGGAACTCTTTGTCCTCATAGTCAAAGCGGTCTCCGAAGACTATGGAGCTGATGACATTGGAGACGCTGCGGCTCAGGAAGTAGGTGGGATCTATGAAGGCACCTGAAGGTTGAAAACAGGGAGAAATTTGGATTGGGCAGAGTCGATTTTGGGGTATGAGAATACCAGGAATTGGCAGGAAAGGGGTGAAACCCCACAGCTGGGATCCCAGATGTCTTTCCCCAACCTAGTTCCCCTTTTGAGCCTGGAGCCCTGGGGTCTTTTGTCACTGGCAATTTCCCTGTGCTTTCCCTCCCAATCAGGGGTCCTGGCTCACCATGAGTGCCACAGAAGGTCTCAATGAGGAAGCCTGCCTCCTCCTTGATGTGCTCCTCAATGCCTTGCCTGCCCACGCCGAAGTCCCGCAGTGTGGTGATGGAGAAGCGCCTGAGCTGCTTGGAGCGCTCTCCTTTGCTGAACACCACTCCTGGGGAAGGGGTTGCAAAGAGGTCGGGGTCAGAGGAAGGCAGGGATGACCACAGACAGCCTGGGGGGCTTCTGAAAGGTGTAGAGGAAGAGAGAGGCAGAGGGAGTGAGGGAGGGGACACAGAGTCACAAAGAATTAGGAGAGAGCAAGTGAGAGTCAGAGACAGAGAAATACATAGAGACTGAGTTGGGGGCAGAGCAATAGTAACAACAGAAGGAAGACCGATTGATAATAAAGAGAAACAGACAGTAAGGAGAAAATGAACTGTGTGGAAAGCTGAGAGGTTGAAATACACATTGTGAGGGATTCTAAAACTGAGCTGGAGAAGAGAGAAAAAATAGGGACCGAGGAACAGAAACAGGGTTTGGAAATTGCTACCAGGAGCCAGAGACACAGGGCTTTTGAGGCAGAAATTGTGTAAGATCCTAAAATAGGAGAGGGAGAGGAAAGCATTAGGAAGCATAGAAGCAGAGATCAAGGAAAAGACAAAGAGATTCAGATCTTCCAAACAAATGCCTGGAGATTTTAAGAGATGAAAAGATAACACAGAAAGAAGCAGGGTTGGATTGCCTACTAAGCAAAGTAAGCACTGGCTTACTTGTGCTTATTTCTAATCAGAAGTCAATGATGTCCTGCAGTGTTTTCATATATGGTGAAAAATATGTGAAAAGAGTTCTTTACAAGTTATGAAGTAAGTGCTTGTAAGTCCATGCTTACCTTGCTTACTGGGTAAGGGATTGTGAATTTGAAAAGAAACTTTGATTCTTAAGGAAGGTGCCTATGGGGTTTGCAGAGAGAGAGATGCTAGGCAGACCTAGAAGGAGAATGTTTGTTGAGGTGAAAAAATGTGAAATTGTTCACCTCAGATGAGTAAATAAGCACAAGTAAGCCAGTGTTTACCTTGCTGTGGGGAATCTAACACTAGAAAGAGACATCTTGTGAGACATAAACAGGGAGATAAAGACAGAAAGAAGCAGAGAGAAATGGAGCCACAGAAACTCCAAAACAGGTTGAAGGCAGATCAGGGGGAAATTACAATGAAGTAGCAAAGTGGAGTGAGAATACCTGAGGAAAAGGTCTGTCATAGTGTGGGGTGGGCAGGTGAGTCAAGAGGGAAAGACCGGGGAAACAGGGTCTACCTGACCACATTCTCCCACCAGAGTCCCCTTACCATAGCCTTTGAAGAGCCAGTCAAAGGTGGCCAGCTCTCCTCGCCCACTGAATTCCTCAGCCTGGTCCACCAAAGCCTCCTTTATAGCGTCATAACCACACAGTACCACGATCCTCCGGTGCCCCAGGTAGACAGTGAACACAGAACCATAGCGCTCCTTGAGCTGGTGAAGGTTGATGGGAGTGGTTAGGAGGAGCAATCCTTACCTCTGAACTGGCCCTGTACCCAGACCCCTCAGACAAGGGTCTATTTCCCACTAAGATCTAATAATGGTCAAGTGGCTGAGGATCCTGAGATCTGGTTTTGCCTGGCTAGGCCTCTGATGCTGAACCTTCAAAACTCCCTTGGTCTAAGACTCTGGTCTAATTTGGTTAGTCTCTTGCCACAAAATCTTCCCCTGTTCCTGATCCCATCCCACCCATCA